GAATTGCAATTCTGCACAGACTGATAATTAGGCCAAGAGGCGAGCAGGTTATGTGACTGACAGATCCCATCTAGCTCTAAAATTCTACACAGACTCTTATACAAACCTAATAATGGGCAATTCACAGGCAATTTCCTATCTCCATGATGTTTCCAATGACTAGATTATCAGAATCTACCCTTGCCGTTTAAAGGAACTCTTGCTAACCTTCCTTTAAATATCATTTACTTCTCAGGTAATAGCTTCCTGCAGTCCACACACAACAAATTGTTCCAAATACACCATCTATTATAAATGTCTATTCATGTACTGTTTTCACCAAAGCAGTATGAGGATAGAAACTATATTTTATTTAACATCTTCACAGTACCAAATCTTTCACAATGCCTGGCACATAGTAAGTGCTAAGAATATGTTTAAATAGTAAGTCTACAAAGTAAAATACGGTTCAAATGTTCTGTTTCCATTATCTGGGAGTTTAACTTAATTTGAAGATACACAAAGCATATGCAGTGCAAACTTACCCCGAGCATTTGTACAAAAGTTACACAAAGGTCTCACTGCTGCAGACTGTCTGGGCACCCTTGGGGATTTCCTAGTGTACCTCAACTCTACCCAAAAGCCTCCTTAACATGCTCTATTTTGTACCACAACCTCCTAACAAATGATTGTTATTATGAACCACTAGTATGACCACAAGGTTGGCAGTTCAAACCCACCAGCTACTCCTAGGAAAACCTACACAGGGTCATTGAGTCAGAACAGACTCTAGGGCACTTAACAGCAGCAACAGCAAGGAGCCCTAGTGCTACTGTGGGTTAGGCAGTGGATTGCTAACTGCAAAGAAAACAAGTCTAAACCCACCAGCTGCTCCGAGGGAAAAAGATGAGGCTATCTGCTCCTGTAAAGATTTCGTCTCAGAAACCCTATATGGAGGATCACAGTAAGTTGGAATCAACTCAATGGCAGTGGGTTTGGTTTTTGTATTGACTTAATAATGAGTTACCAGTTGGTGCAAACTGTTAATGCATGCAGCTGCTAACTAAATGTTGGAGGTCAAGTATACCCAGAGATTTCTTAGAAGAAAAACCTCATGATCTACGTCTAAAAAATCAATCACAGAAAATTCTATGGACCTCACAGTTCTACCCTGCTACACATGGGGTTGCAACCAGTCAGAATTGACTCCACAGTGACTGGTTATGCCATGTACACATATGTCCATGATGTTGTTGTCGTCAAGTGCCGTCGAGTCAGTTCTGACTCATAGTGACCCCGTACAGGGTTTCTGAGGCTGTAAATCTTTACAGGAGCAGAAAGCCTTGTCTTTCTCCCGCGAAACAGCTGGTAGTTTCGAACTGCTGACCTTGCAGTTCACAGCCCAATTCCATGACACTTTCTAGGAAAAATGACATTATGTGATTTGGATATAATGCAAACACATTTTATATGTACAGTATATACATGTTTTTGTTATTGTTAAGTACCAAGGAATCAGTTCTGAGGAGTGGCTGGTGAGCTTGAACCACTGACCTTAAGGTTCAAAGCAACCTTACAGTCCAGAGCATTAATCACATTGTTACACAAGGACTCTAGATTAGGCTTCAAAATATTCATGGAAAAATCCCAATACCTTTTAATTCCATTTCTCAAAGAACATTCTGAAACCAACTCATTTTTTTATGTATTCACCATACATCCTACTGTTGTTAAGTGCCATGCAGTAGGTCCATGTTTTTGTTAAGTGTCATTGACTTATAGGACCCTGTAAAGGGTTTCCAAGGAGCTCAAAGTAATTCTACCAAACTTCACACCAAGTTACTACGTTGTTGGTGGTGTTAAGTGCCACTGAGTCGATTCTGACTCATAACGACCCTGTACAGGGTTTCCAAGGAGCAGCTGGTGAGCTTGAACCACCGACCTTGCAGTTCAAACGACTTTGACTTTGTAGTCTGATGCATTAGCCCACAGCGCCACACAAGGGCTCCTATGTTGTTGTGAAGTGCCGCCAAGTCAATTCCGACCCATAGTGACACTGTGTAGGGTTTCCAAGGAGCAGCTGGTGAGCTTGAAAGACTGACTTTACAGTTCAAATGACTTTGCAGTCTGACACATTAACCTACAGGGCCACACCAAGACTCCAAGGATTCTCCATTAATACCTAGAGTCTCAGGGCTTGAAAATCCACATTTGCAATTGGCTGCCTGAGGGTGTAGTCTGGGTGTGAGGGTGGGGGAGGATAACCCAGCAAAGCTTATCAACTCATCTCACTATTTCCAGAGCCAAGCAAAGAATTGCATCTCCTGGTACCCTCTTCCAATCAAGTCCCTTCTCCCAATCCTACTTGTATATACAGATATATTTGTATATGAGATTGTTGTTGTTAAGTGCTGTTGAGTCAGTTCCGACTCACAGTGACTCTGTATAGGGTTTCTGAAGAGCAGCTGGTGAATTTGAACCACAGACCTTGCAATTCAAACTGACCTTGAGGTCGAGTGTTTATCCTACAGTGCAATAATTGGGTAGTATTAAGTCAGATGTTGCCCAAATAGACCTTACGTAATACATACTTGTGTATCATTTACTGACAGCTTCAGGTTTATGGTTAGAGTTTATGGTCCATTACTTGATACATAAGCTCAACTGCAGCAGGAATTCTATCTGTTTTATTCATTAATGATACCCAATCCCTAGATCAGTGTGTAGCACAATGTATAATGTTTAAATTATTTCCTTGCAGTTTACAGCCGTCATGAGCCACGAATCCCATCTCACATTGCCCTTACTTCCTCTGCTCCATCCACTTATAGTAGCCTCCCAACCAAGTAAGCTTCTACAAACTGGAGGAAAATATTTTTATTTAATTCCTAAATTGTAACCCATCCTTTCTTTGCTCACCTTTTAGTACAGAAAAAATATTCAGGAAACTTTAACAAATGGATGAAATAACTAAAGCTTTCCTTTTTCACTTTCCATTTTAAATTACTGTTGGACAAAGACAAAATCTAAAAATGTCTGATTAGCCTTTTTGGATTATCTAGCAGATGAGCTATAACTACAGAAAAAGTATGCTCCAAAGAGTGCAAATTCTCACATGCGCTATACACATCAATTATAGCACGGGTTTTCAAATGTAGCTAATAGGCTTCAGGATCAAAGGGACTTATCCACAGCATTTAAAAATCTACTAAGTACTGACCCATGTAAAAATAGGACGCTATTGTATCTATATTCAGAAAACAGCACCAGGACCTTCTCCACCTTGCGGTTTCAGCCAAATATGGCTCTTCTCTGCTTGGACCAATTTAGCTTAGGAGTTCCAACAGGCTCCAGCCCACCAATAGTAGTCACCAACATCATCTACATTACTATTTCCAAAACAGCTTTTAAAATCTTGAAAAAAAAATCAACCATCAACAACATAAGATTATACCCCAGACTATACTCAAGGAGCTCTGGTAGCGTAGTGGTTACGAATCGGGCTGCGAACCGCAAGGTCAGCAGTTCAAAACTACCAGCTGTTCCACAGGAGAAAAATGAGGCTTTCTGCTCCCGTAAAGATTAACAGCCTCAGAAACCCCGTGCAGGGTCACTATGAGTCAGAACCGACTCGACGGCACATAACAACAACAACATACTCATTTCTGTATATGTTGATTCACATTAAATTCAGAAACAAAGAATTCTTTGTTTGTACTCTAATGTCTCTATTTCTATCTGACAAACTCAGAGACCACTTCTAGGATGAGCTTTAACAAAGAGGTTTCACAGATTAAAAGCGTTAGGCAGTTGACACCAGTCAGGTCCCCTGTTGATGTTAAGTGCCAAGTCAGTCATAGCAACCCTGTATAGGATTTCCAAGGAGCTGCTAGTGAGTTTGAACTGCTAACCTTGAAGTTGTTAGCCTTCCACGGCCATTCAGTTTTGTTTGGTGGTGGTGGTAGTGACTATGTACTGTCTAGTTGGGTCCGATTCATAGTGACCCTGCAAAGGGTTTCTGAGGCTGAAAATCTTAATGGGAACAAAAAGCCTCATCTTTCTCCTGAGGAGTGGCTGGTAGATTCAAACTTCTGACCTTGGGGTTAGCAGCTCAACTCTTAACTTACTATGCTACCAGTTCTCTGGTTGTGCTTAAATACCAGAAAAAGAATTAACATTCTAAATGTGTGCAAATTAGGATGAGCTAAAGGAAGATTGTAGAAGAATTGATGCTTCTGAGTTATGGTGTTGGAGGAGAATATTGAAAGTACCATGGGCTGACAAAAGAACCAATAGATCCGTTTTGGAAGAAGTGCAGCCAGAAGTGCTTCTTGGAAGTGAAGATGGCCAAACTTTGTCTCTCATACTTTGGACATATTGTCAGGAGGGACCCAGTCCTTGGAGAAGGATATCATGTTTGGTAAGGTGGAGAGTCAGAGAAAAAGAGGAAGATCCCCAACGAGATGGACTGGGCAAGCAGCAGCATCAATAAACTCAAGCGTGGCAACAATAGTGAGGTTGGCCCAGGATCAGGCAGTGTTTCGTTCTGTTGTGTATAGGGTTGCTATGAGTCAGTATTGACTCAATGGCACCCAACAACACCAACAAAGTGTTTGGATTCAGATACCAATTTGATCACTAAATATGATGAGACAGGGAAATCACAACAGAGAGTAATCTTTAAATGCTATTTTCTCCACAATTCTAAAGGAGACTATGGGGCGAGTTTCAACTGTCAGTTGTTATGAGCATTCCAACAGCAGAGTAAACTTAAGTGTAACGCAAAGAAGCTGTCAAAAGAGGAATAACTCAGAGTGTATTCCCCTGCTTGAGGATGACTGGTAGCTTGCCCTCTGCCTCTATAACCACATCTGGCCATCTCATCTTTATGACCTTCCCCTCTCAAATGTCTGGAATAAGCGATAAGTGAGTGAAGTAATGACAAGCACTGAAATGTGTCACTAAAATTGGCATTTACAAATGACTTGCAAAACTACTCCCCAGTGGACCTATCAACCTACCCATGCCGTATTTGGTAGTTGTCTAAAAAGATAAAAGCCCGTCCTCCTCAGGGTAACATGCTGGAAGAAAGGAAGCCTCGGGTAAGGAAAAGCACGAATCTGCTCCAGACTGTTGCTCTCAAAACCTAAGCTGCCACAAAGAGATCCTGAGTAGCACGCAATCTCGTTTCTGTATTCATTCACAGGGCTCGTCACCCCAACCTCCCAAATCTAAGACCTTAGAAGTAAACCCCAACCTATAGCCTGTGAGTCCACTTCAACTCATAGCGAACCTATAAGGGAGAATAGAACTGCCAGATTAGATTTCCAAGGGGGTAATTTTTACAGATCAGACAGCCACGTCTTTCTCCCGCAGAGTAGGAAGTGGGTTCGAACAGCAAACCTTTCACTTCGCAGGTGAGCACGTTAACCATGGTGTCACCAGAGCGCCTGTCAAGACCTAAGTGTCCAGGGGTGACAGGGAAACGATGACACTTGATCTTCTGTGCTTGAGAACCAGAAGGAAAAAAAAATTAATAGCCAGGACGTGGGCAGCGAGCAGACAAGCGTTGGACGTTGGACACGGGTCACGCGGGAGAGTGGGAGGTATCTAGGAAGAGCGTACACACAAACAAACCACCGGCTAAGAACGAAGGGAAAGGCAGCAGTGATGGAGAAACCTGGGAGGTTAGGGAAAACCTATGCTCAGAAGAGCGTCCGGGGAAGAGGCAGGTTCCCAGAGACTAGACTCTGTGGGAAACGCCCGCCAGGCAGTGCGGAATGAGGCCAGCGGCCGCATCCGCCAGGCCCGTCGGAACGCGAGCGGCTCAGGTCGCGCTCGAACAAAGCCCGTGCGGAGGCCCGGCTACTCACAATAAGAAGCTCATGTCGGCTGCTGGCTGCCGGCTCAACGGTCACTAGGCCTCGGGGCTGCGACGATGGTGGCTGCGACCGGGGAAGAGAAGAACTGGCTGGAGGAAGAGGAGGAGGGAGAAGGAGGCGGGGTGCTCTGACTGTTCCGCGGCAGCAACTTCTTGGGCTCTGCGAGTTCCAATGGCAGACAGAGGGGGCGGAAATGGAAGTGCAGGGCGTAAATCACTCAAGGGGAGGAGATGGAAAGTGGGGCGGGGAAAGGGGCTGACCGCCGGCTCCTCAGAGAACACACCAGCGACTACCACACAGTTCCCCAACCCACCCATGCCGCTGCCCCAACCCCTTGCCACCTTGGGTTTTGTCAGCTCTCGCGAGAGCATCCCATACTCCGGATGCGAATGGGGTCCCTCACCTTCTGGTCACCTTTGTAGCCAGCGCCACGCTTAGTGTGCACCCAGGCCTCCCGGTCCCACAGATTAAGGGTCATGGCAGAACGTGACTGCTGGGTTTCAATGGTCAGGGAGAAAGTGGGCTTCAACTCCATCAGTGATGGATGGAATTGCCACCAGAGTTATGCCCACAGTGAGTGCCCAGTAAAGGATAATGAAAGCTTGTCGAATCTCTTTCTCTGCTAGTATTTAAAAACAGGATGGAGTTTCATCTGGTTGGAATGATTTAAGTGTGGTTCTGCCACAATAGAAGAAAAATCAAAGCCAAACCCACTGGCATCAAGTCCATTCTGACTCACAGTGATTCTGTAGTCGGAGTAGAATTGCTCCATAGGGTTTTTGAGACTGTTAATGTTTATGGGAGCAAACAATTTCATCTTACTCTCAAGGAGCCGCTGATGAGTTCCAATGAACTGCTGACCCTGTGGATAGCAGTACAACAGTAACCCATTATACACCCAGGCTCCATTTTCAATCTTGGATCCTTTTGTGGGTGTATTTTAAGGCCCTTGAATGGGGAGAAGGTCAAGGTCCATAACTGTCATTAGCAGCTGGGGACGTTGAAGGGAGCCAAGGAAAGCTAAGGTCAGTTCATCATGAGTCCCGGCATGGTAGGCTGCAGTGGCAACAATGCTTGACCATGTATGGGCTAAAGTCAATTATAAATGCCAATCACTTATGCACACAGCATCTAGAGGAAGAACGGATTCCGTTCCTTTACAGAGGAGCTTTCATTCTCACAGTTAAGGTAAATAAATACATACTTTAGAGTGGCCCATAGTCCTTGACTGTGTCACCACAACATTATCAGTTGCAAGGAAAACGTTGTTGTTGTTGTTAAGTGCGTTGAGTTGGTTCCGACCCATAGAGACCCTGTACAGGGTTTCTGGGGCTGTAAATCTTGATGGGAGTGGAAAGCCTCATCTTTCTCCTGCGGAACAGCTGGTAGGTAGTTTCAAACTGCTGACCTTAAGGTTCGCAACCCGATTCATAACCACTACGCTACCAGAGCTCCTTAAGGAAAACATTGGTACCCATTTATTTTAAACAAGAAGTTCCCATGTTTTTACTTGTAGGTTCTCAAAGAAGTAGATCAAAAATTAATGTTCACTATTAGCCTGTCTTAAGGAGCTCTGGTAGCGTAGTGGGTACGAATCGGGCTGCGAACCTTAAGGTCAGCGGTTCGAAACTACCAGCTGCTCCGAGGGAGAACGATCAGGCTTTCTACTCCCGTAAAGATTTACACCCTCGGAAACCCTGTACAGGGTCGCTATGGGTCGAAACCGACTCGACGGCACTTAACAACAACAACAACATTAGCCTGTCTTTATCATTCCAAAGGTCATAGTAGACTCCAAAGGGGTAGAAATATGAAATTTGATTGTACTTCCCAGCCATTGTACGTCATGTGCAGCCACCATTTATCTGCCGAGGGAGGCTTGCAAGTTGGTATGCTGAGCAGATTTCAGCAGAGTGTTCAAATTAATTGGGCAAGGAAGGCAGTCATGGAGATCTACTTCTAAAAATCAGCCAGTGAAAACCCCACGACCACAATGGTCAGATCCACGACTAACATGTGTTTGCCACAGGACTCAGTAATGTATCCTCTTACGCTGGGACTGAGTCCACAGAAGCTAACAATATCATGCACTGTTAGCTTGTCATTTAGTATACCAAATCATAAACAAATAAAGAAAATATTGGGATTTTGGCATTTACTTAAGCAGCAGTCGCTACTGGAATAATTTTAGAAGACTTAAACAATCAAGATACAAGAGAGGAGGAAACAGTAAACAATATTTTAGTGTAATAAGCATAGTAGATTTCTGACATAAAAGCTCTGTGTTCACATCTCGACATACTGTGTGGTGGAGGATCAGAGGAAAAGAGGAAGACCCCCAGTGGATGGATTGGCAAAGTGGCAGCATCAATGGACTCAAGCGTAACAATTGTGAGGTTGGCCCACGACCAGGCAGTGTTTTGTTCTGTTGTGCATAGGGTCGCTAGGTGTCGGTACCAACTCGATGGCACCTAACAACAACCAACCTGAGACACTCATCTTTTGGCACTATATGGGACAATATTCCACTGCTATTCTTAAAGTTTTCTTTCAGTGGCTAACCATTCAAAAGTGGTCTGCCTCTCCTTTTGTGTCCAACTTAGCTGGAAGCTCTGCTGAAACCAGGTCCACCATGGGAAACCCTGCCAGACTTTAAAATATCAGCATAGCAGCACACAAGCCAACACAGTACAATAAACTGCCAGACTAGCGGTGGTGATATTATACTAACATGCTATATAATTCGTTATGGATCCTTTGAAGATAAGACTTGCATTACTAAATCAGGAATTACGTTATTTGGGAAAATGAAGTCAATTTATCTCTCTCAGTCTCAGTTTTACCTTGTTTAGAATGAGGGTATCAGATTATTAAATGATCTGTAAGATACCTTCAGGTTCTACAATTCTGTCATACCAGGGATATTCTTCAAATGACTGACACACAGTCTTCAACTGCTCCCTGATTCGGTAGGCTTTCTTGAGTGACCATACTTTTTTTCCAGTGAATCCCATGACTCTGAATTGGAAAGATCAGCAGAGGAATGAATCTGCAAGAGCACTTTCTAGGAGAAAATACATTGATTCTAAAAATGAGACTATTGTATGTTAATAATACAGAATACGATTCCAGAAAGTTAGATATTTAAGCCAGACAATGACTGTCACATAAAATTATTCAACATTTCAAAAACATTGAAGAATTGTTGTTGTTATTAGGTGCCATTGAGTCAGCACCAACTCATAGTGACCCTATACACAGCAGACCGAAACACTGCCCAATCCTGAGCCAACCTCACTACTGTTGCCACATTTGAGTTCATCGGTGCCACCACCTGGCCAGTCCATCTCGTTGAGGGTCTTCCTCTTTTTCTCTGACCCTCCACCCTACCAAACATGATATCCTTCTCCAGTGACTGGTTGCTCCTAACAATATGTTTGAAGTATGAGAGACGAAGTTTGGCCATCTTGGCCTCCAAGGAACACTCTGGCTGCTTGAAGAATTGAAGAATCAGAGAGGGCAATCTCAAATAGCTATTTCTAATTCTAATCTCTCTACTAATCAATATTTTATACCACTCTTTCTAAAACTAATTATAAGAGCATACTCTAAATGATCAAAGCAAAGGAAGACACTGGGAGCAGTACAAGAGTCAAAGTACAACAGAGATAAATGCTATTGTATACACAATCCTGCAATAACAGTGATAATAACTGATGAGTACATACACAAATAGACATACGAGCTGAGCAGGTATGCGAAGGAGAATGGCATTGTACCCACAAATATATATAGGACTATAAACCCACTGCCATCAAGTCAATTCCAATTTACATCAACCCTCTAAGAAACAATATAGCTGCTCCTTTGGGTTTCTAAGACTGTAAATCTTTACAAGAGCAGACATCTTTCTCCTGCGGAACATCTAGTGAGTTTGATCCACCAACCTTGCAGGTAGCAGCCTAATTCTTAACCCACAGTACCACCTCTGTATAGGTATTTACATATGCTGCAAATGAATATAGTAGAGCGTGTTTTTGTTAAGTACTATTGGGTCGGTTCCAACCTATAGCAACCCTGTGTAGGGTTTCCGGGAAGCGGTTGGTGAGTTTGAATCACTGACCTTGTGGTTCAAACCGACCTTGTGTTCGAGTGCTTACCCTACAGCACTACAGGGGCAAAGTTTTGAAAACTTCTAAGCCATAGCCAAACACATTGAGGGAATGAGTCACTGAGCCCATGGGCTCAACATTAATAATATTGGAGAACACTACAGTCAATTGGTATAGTATACTCCACAAAGACAATATTCTACATCCTACTAGTGTAGCACTATAGGATAAGCACCAGACTGCTAACCGTGAGGTAGGTGGTTCAAACACACCAGCTGCTTCTCCTTAGAAACCCTATACAGGATCACTGTAAGTTGGGACTAACTCGATGGCAGTTACCAACAACCACTTTGTATATTATAATGTAATGCGCAAAGACTTGGAGTTAAAAAGCCAAAGGGGAAAAACATAGTCAGCATTTCTCAAGGTGAAAGAACTAAAGAAAAAATTCAAGCCTTGAGTTGCACTATTGAAAGCTTCTGGGGGGAAAAATGATATGGGGGTAACATCTGACCTTCAGCTTCATGTGATGGGGTGGGGAGAGGGGAAAGGGAAGGAAGACAAGAATCACCATTAGCAACATCAGCCACAGCTGATTCGAGGCTGGGCATGCCACCACCTGCCAGCCCTCTTTACCAATTCTGGCACCAACCCTCTCACTCAGCTGGGTTTGGTAATTTACGGCAATGGCCACACAGAGCTTACAAACCATGCTCACAGTCATTGGGGTTATTAGAGATCAGAAATGTTCAGGCTATAGTTCTTGGGTCAGACATGCCTCTCTCTGGTTATTGGTCTCTCAGCCACAATGTCCCTTAGTCTCTGCCCTGCTCAGGCAAGTGTTACAAAACTCCTTCAGTGGTGGTGGTGAATGTGTATCACAGAATCGGTTCCAAATTATAGTGACCATGTATAAGGTTTCAGAAGCTGTAAACCTTCATGGGAGCAGAAATCTCATCTTTCTCCCTTAGAGAAGCTGGTGGATTCAAACTACTGACCTTCTGATTAGCAACCCAATGAATAACCAACCAGTACACCTTCAAAATTTCTTTAGCACTGCTGAAAAATCCCCAAAGGACATGCTACTCTGCCATAAACCTCAGGCCTAATTTCATGGATTAGCAAATCTAGTTTCCCCAATTAAGTGCCTGGAAGCACCCTCCTCTTCTTGCCTGAAGGTATTCGGTTTTACTTGGTCCATAGGCCAGAAAGCCTACCTCTGTGTCTCATGTTCTTACTCAGCTGCTGCCCTTCTGGTGCCACAACTTTCTGTCCCTGTATCTTGGGGTCCAAGGACATGCTCCACTCCTGACTCTTCTTTCTTGATGGTAGTAACATCCTCCCTCCCTGTTTCTCAAATGGCTCATTTAAAACCCAATAGATGACAAACTGACCAATCCACTCATTATATTTCCAGATTTTT